CAACCAGAGGGCAGTAAGAATGGTTGAAGAACATGAGGTTGAAGTGTCTTTAAGTTGACTGGCTGGCTGGATAGGGAGATGTTTCTGGACTCTGGAGAGAAAAGACAGAAAGCTCAATCCTTTTGAAAAGGTTCTGACCCACAGCAGCCAGTCTCCTCAGGCCATCTGGTACTCAGGCTGTAACTGGCACCAAAATCTAAAAAGGGGAACCTTGTCATGGGGCCTTAAAGGGAAAATGTTGGTCCTTATTCAGCCGACTACAGATTCTTTGTCTGCAGCCTCTGTGTCTGTTTTTCCTCATTATGGTATCTCCAGAGCAACCATGTTACCACCAATAGGTACTCAATAAATTCTTGCTAAATCAATAACTAAAAGTGGTTAGACAAGTAAGAGTAACAACAGAAGCATTTGGAAACTGTGTGGGGCTCCAGCTGATCATTTAAAAAGGTTGAGGCAAGAGAAACTTCCATAGTTCTATCAGTGAAGGCTCCAACCTTAGAAATGTTTCCTTACACTTATGATGATAGTACTATTGACTAAAGCTGCAGTAACCCAGATAATCACCTTTTACTCAGCTATTTCAATCTAATAGTGAAGATTACAAAATAATTTGATTGATAGATGCCACATTTCACAATACATGCATTATAGTACTTATTATTATTTTTTAACATTTATTTATTTATTTTAGTTTTTAGGTGGACACATTATTTTGCTTTTATGTGGTGCTGAGGATCGAACCCAGTGCCTCATGCATGCTAGGTGAGCACTCTACCACTGAGCCACAACCCCAGTCCCTATATTACTTATTAACAGTAGAATTATGATCATTAATAATTTTTAGATTTCAAAAAATATAGTCCATCAGCTCAAAATTTAGTCTTTTAACACTATTACCTGTAAAAGTAGGAGTATTTATTCAATTAGATTGAAATCCTCAGAGAAATCAACTTTTTAAGGGGCAGTTTGTTTTACTCACAAGTGCAGAATAGAGGTCTATGTATATTGGGCGGGGGGAGTTGTATATAGAGACAACTTAAAAGCTTATATATTTTACTAATTCTAGAAGGATATAAAATATCCTAGCCCCTTCTGGTAATGTTTGTATAAATAAAATTTGCTTTAGGACAGGCTTTGTTAAGGTAGCCCCTATCCAGGGTAACTGTTTTTTAAATCGTTAATACCACAACAATCCATATAAAAAAATCTGTTTAATGATAATTTGTGTAAGTAGATTTATAGAGACAGAAAAGAGTTCCACTTTTTCTTTGCCAAGCAATCAAGCAAAACACAGGACCAATACAATTAGTAGGCAGAAGTGGGTGGCAATGGCTTTTCTCTAATGACATGATCGCCATCTAGAGGATCCATTTGAAACTACAGTGTAGTGACCAAAACCTACAAAATATTTTCAAGAGTTAAAAGTTATAATTTATGAACAGGTAGGCAACAGAGACAGAAATAAACCATGCTAATTTCATGGCTATGAATACCTATTATTTCAAGCTTCTAGTAAATAAATCTTGCAAATATCGTTATTGAGATATTTTCAGCCAAAACTGGAAATAAAACCCTGATATCTTCAGAGCATTAAAATTAGCTCATCAGTAAATACAGGTCAGGAAGAAACTAGACAGGAGGGTAACAGGCAAATGTATCCACAGTTTGCTGTGTTCTGCTGCCCTAAATAGGCCCTCATACAAATCCATAGGAATTTTTATTCACCAAAAGATGCAAAATACTGATAGTTTAGTTCGATCAGGAACATCTGCATTTAAGAAATTTTTGTTTAGTTGTAGATGGATATATTACCTTTATTTTATTTATTTTTATGTAGTGCTGAGGATTGAACCCAATGCCTCATACATGCTGCTCTCTACCACTGAGCCACAACTGCAGCCCCAACATTTGCATTTTAGTAGATTCAAAGTCTTAATTAAAAGTGAGAGAGGAAAAGATAAACAGAATTTTTAGTACTTGTCAACTGTTGGAGCAGTGATGGAGTATGATAACCATCTCCTTTATAAAATTCTTAATTAACCTTTAAAACTAGGACTTACTGATAAATAAATATTTATTCATTTACTTATTGGGTACTGGGGATTGAACTTGAGAGTACTTGACCACTGAGCCACATCCCCAGCCCTATTTTGTATTTTATTTAGGGACAGGGTCTCACTGAGTTCCTTAGTGCCTGCTTTTGCTGAGGCTGGCTTTGAACATGTAATCCTCCTATCTCAGCCTCTTGTAATCCATTGGGATTACAGGCATGTACCACCGTGCCTGGCTGATAAACTTATTTTAATGATAATATTTCAAAAGGGGCCAGACTCAGTGGCACATGCCTGTAATCCCAGGAACTGGTGGCTGAGGCAGGTGGAATGCAAATTCGAGGGCAGCCTCAGCAATTTAGTGAGACTCTCTCCAACCTAACAAGACCCTCTCAAAATAAACAAAAAGGGCTACATACTTAGTGGTTGTGTGCCTCTGGATTCTACCCCCAATACCACACTGCCACACACATACACACTCAAAGGCATATTAGCCTCTTTCAGAAGTTTGAGTAGTTAGCTGGGCTTGGTGCTCACCTGTAATCCTGGTGGCTCAAGAGGCTGATGCAGGAGGATCCCAAGTTCAAAGCCAGCCTCAGCAACTTAGCAAGGTCCTAGGCAACTTAGCAAGACCCTGTCTACAAAAACTAAAAAGGGTAGGGATGAGGCTCAGTGGATAAATACCCCTGGGTTCAATCCCTGGTACCCCCAAAAAAAGCAAAGTTTTGAGTAGTTAGAAACATCTGTACTTCCTGTGTTTATATACTTCTAATGAGATACTAGTATTTTGAGAGCATATCATAGCTGGGCATGGTGGTGCATACCTGTAATCCCAGCCACTCAGGAAGCTAAGAGAATTACAAGTTCAAGGCTAGCCTTGCAGTGTCTCACAAAAAGGTGGGGTGGGGGGAGTTGGTGATGTAGTTTAATGATAAAGTGCCCCTGGGTTCCATCCCCAGTACTGAAAAAAAAAAAAGGAGATAGATTATATTATAGTCCCCTATCTCAATGATTCTCAAATATCACTTGTAAAATAAACGGTTTCTTTTTTCTTTTTTAAAATTTTCCAATCACTTGAGGGTCAATCTTCTGCAAATTAAAACTTGTATGGCAATATCTTAGTTTCATGCTTCTTTCTATACTTATGGTGCCATAGGCAAATCATAACAAGGTGTAGACTGGTATTGGTCTGAGGTACATTTGAAGATAACTCCTCTGTCTCCATTTTAAAATATATATATATATATATATATATATATATATATATATGATTTAATCTAAAGATCTCCACCAATACCACCATAGTTATGTTCAAAAGTTCGATTCACACCTTTCTCCCTTATTTCTTTTTTTTCCATTTTTGAAACACTATAGTCTTTGAATCTTTAATAATGAAAATTTCACTTTCAAGTTCCCAGTTTAAATTGACCTTCTACTTGAAATGTTTGCACAATTCCTCCTTCCCTATTTTCAGTTCAACCTCATTCAGTTTTGCTAACTTTATTTGCTGTGAATTTGACCTCAACAAACAGAAGCTTGTATTTAGGTAGCATAAAAGTTGAGATACTTGAGGATGAACAAGAAATTCACTTAGCAAAACAATGTAGCTAACAAGACACATGCTTTCTTGATTTAAAGATTATAGGAAAGCTTGAGTTGGATTTTTTTTTTTTTTGGCCAAAACACAAAGTCTTTTTATTGATAAATAGTTCTAGCTTTCTTAGGTTTACAATGATTTTTGTTTCTGATCCCAATAACCCAAGATAGGAAATCCCACACGTGCATATATTAAATAAAGTGTTTATACATTTCCATTTATAAGGCACAAAACTCACAAATCTTTCAGAAAAAGGAATAAAAAGTACTCTTTGTTTCTGAAGACAAGAAAATAATCTTAGAGGAGGTTCATCAAACTGGAATTAAAACAAACCACTTCCTTTTTTAGTAAACAAGGGACTTTATACTGATAGGAAATGTAGCCGATGAAGAAGGCTTCTCAGCCCTTCCTTTGATGCAGCCTCCTTCACTGGATTAGTGCAGAAGCCAGTCCTCAGAGAGGGCTGCATGGCCAGAACAATAATTGCAAGCACCACCTGTCTCACAGAAGCTGCTGGGCAGCAATGTTCCAAGCAGAGCATTTTGGTTATAGGGTGCCTGATTCCCTTGCCTCTTACCCAAGGACCTTTTAGGGACCAACCACAGTACAAATGTACTGGGACTTGATTATTTTAAGGTTCTGCTTTAAGTTGAGGCAGAACTGCCTGCTTGAGGCCCCTGAATTGAGGTGGTTATGTTGGTCCTTCATGAGCAGAATCTATGTAGAAGGCTGGACTTCAAGTTCCTCTTGAAATAATCAGACCCCCAGAGGAAAGTTAGGACCAATTCACCCTACAAAGGGTTCCCCACCCCCACCCCCCCAAAAGAGCCATTTTTGTCAATATGTTTTTTAGAATCTTAGAGCAACCCCCAGATCTTCTGGTTTGTAAGGCAGCCCTAATAGCTCTGGTAATCCTACAGTTCACAGGTATAAAAGAAGGGTCCCATAACACCAAACAAGCAAGGCTTATTCATGCTTGTTGGCTGGGCCTCCTGGAGGCTCTTGGCACTGTACTTTCTAGTACCATTTACATTAGTATTATACAAGAATGAACTTCCTGCATGTCACATGGCTTCAAGCATTTCCTGGAAGTGTGACTGCTTCATAGTACTTTGAGTTACCATGCAAAGAAGGGACAGGAGTGAACAGCACTTCAGACCAAAAAAAAAAAAAAAAAAAAAAAAAAAACAGCCAGGCAGACAATTGTCCTGAGAAACGGTCAGTAGTAGAGTGGATGAGAGAGTAAGGATCAGAAATCAGATGAACTGAGTAATTCCTTATTTCTAACAGTTTCACAGAATCATCTTGAAGATTCTGACTTTTCCTCTAGATAATTTGAAATCCAAATAAAACAAGGTCTTTAGGTCAATTTATTCAATTACCAAAGACCAGCATAGTAGGATGGTTATTCCAATAGGGTGAGGACAAACCTACTTACTTTCCAGTACTATTTTATTATCCACTCAGTTCTAGGACTTGCCTCTGGAAGCTATAGTCAGAATTTGCTAAATTTTCAGGCATGAAGATAGTTCTCAGTTCAGTGTTTCATTAATCTTACCAAGATCCCTTTCCTTCTAAGGCTATGACCCAGAAGGAAAAGGAATATTCCTTTACTTAACAACAAAACTCTTGAATCCTTTGGCTTTTAAATGCTGTAGCCATAGCATATCCTTGGAAATACATATTAATTTGAAAATCAACCCCTAAAAATAACAAGTCAACTTCCATTGTTGTATCAAGTTTTCCCCAAATCACAAGGGCCACGTTCACATCTACATCCTGTTCCACCCAAAAGCCTCATGAATCTTTCTTTGTCAGTCTGGCCTTGACTTTGTGTCTCAGAAGGGCTGCGGTGGCAGCACTACAGGCGGCCAAGAAAAAGAAAGAAAGGCAGGCCATGTAGACAGACAAAGGACCATGGCGCTGCTGGAAGATCTCATGTCGCCCCTGGTAGTCCAGAAGGATGGCTTCCAGCTGTGAGAGCGTGCAGATAGACAGAAAGGCATGGAAGATTTGATGCCCATGGCCCACGATGTCACAGGAACCCGGGAAATACTTCTCAGGCACCGGGCAGGAGAAGAAGTAGGCGCTGACCAGGAAGAAAAAGATCTGGAAGGTGTGGTACCAGGCTGCCTGCTCCTGGCAGCCAGCCAGGTGGCAGAGTGCCACCCGGTGTGCCACAGGACTGATGTCTAGGATGAAGGCCAGCCCTGCCGGTACCACTTGACAGATCTTCCTCATAACTGGGTAAGGCCTTCGGTAACGATACTTTGCGTAGCAACAGCCAGTACAAGATAACCAGCCGCAGAAGGCAGCTGCTGGCAAGAAGAAAAGCCAGAACCGCTCATACCAGGCCTGGTCTGAGCTGTAGAAGAAGTGGGCCAAGGCACTGCCATATTGGTAAACACTGACGCCAACATAGTCCACGAAGTAGAAGGTGTAGTGGGACAGCTCGGACTTGGACTGGAGCAGGTGGGCCAGAAGGCTGCACGTGAGATACGTAATGGAGGACAGGATAAACAGGAGCAGGGGCAGGGAGTGAGGAGAGGCCCACGGCAAGGCCTCGGCCTCCGCAAAGGCCCAGAATCGCAAAAGTACGGCCAGGGCCGCCAGCAGGTGGGTCCAGACGTTGACGACTTCGTTGTGTTTCTGAAAGAGACTGAAGAAGTAGTAACGCCACTCGTGCCCCGTGGGGCGGTAGCCCGTGCGGATGTACGGCTCCCGGAAGAGCTGGGGCACATCCGTTTCCGGGACGGTGCAGGGCATCTTGGGAAGTCCATCCTCCAAGATCTTGGGCAGGCGGCGCAGGTGCTGGCCGCTCACGGACAGGGTGCTCAGGCGCTCCAGGATGGCTGTCGTCATGGCGGTGGCGTCGTGGGGGCCGGGGGCACCCTGAGGAAGAGAGGGAAACCGCGATGAGACACGCGGCAGACAGTGAGGAACTGTGACCAGTCTTAATGGACTTGGCTACCTGGGGCAGGAGGAGAAGCCGGGAACTGCAGCTGGCTTCTCTGGACCTCGTTTTCCTCATCGGTAGAATGATGGAGTTGGAACAAGGTCCCTTTACTGTCCAGTGTTCTGATTCTGTATCTGCTGCATACTACAGGGTGAGGCAGAGCCACGCTTTGTCAAACGGGTCTCTTTGCCACCTTAACATTATTTAATAATAAACAAGATTTAATGGTACGTCAGATTATTTTTAAAGACTAGGTTTTCCTTAATGTAATTAAAATGTAATTAGGCTTGAACTACTATAAATATGTTGAAACATAGAACGATAAATATAAGCACGATAAAGAGCTGGGCATGGGGGTACACGCCTGTAATCCCAGTGGCTATGGAGGATGAGGAAGGAGGATCACAAGTTTGAGATCAGCCTCAGCAACTTAGGGAGGCCCTGGGGAATTTAGAGAAACCCTGTCTAAATAAATAAATAAATAAATGTGGGCGGGGAGCTGGGGATATTGCCCAGTGATTGAGCTCACCTGGGTTCAATCCCTGGTGATAGATAGATAGATAGATAGATAGATTAGATAGATAAAAATAAAGGCTAATAAATGCTCCATTTCTTTGGCACCCACCTAATCTTAAATTACCCCACTAATTTCACTGGTAACTTGAAAATCTGAGGTAAACAACTGTATTAACTTCAAACTAAAGAAAAACAAATTAGGTTGGGAAAAACCAATGCACATTCTGAGATATTTTAATAGTTAAAATTAAAACATGGCCTAACATAAAGCCTTAACATAAAGTCTTAATTGCAAATATTGTTCTATTTAATTTACTATTACTATTTTCAGTACTGAGGATTGAACCCAGGGGTACTCTAGCCCTGAGCTATGTCTTCAGCCCCTTTTATTTTTCATTTTGAGACAAAGTCTCACTGAGTTGCCCAAGCTGGCCTCAAATTTGTAATCCTCTTGCCTCAGCATCCCAAGTTATTGGGATTACAGGCCTATGCCACTGTGCCCATCGGGATTGTTCTTTTCAAGAAAGGAGAAAAGCTCTGGAAATGGGGTAGTTTGGAATTTGTCTATCTTGGATAAGTAAATTTGTACTTGTAGGCTTCAGAAATGCTTAACTTATTCTTGGAATGTCTATGTGACAGATTAGTCTGATAAGCACAGCAACTATTTTGTAAAATATTTAATAAAATTTATGAAAAATTCCCTGTGAAGTTACTGGGTAAAGAAGCATACAGTTAACTGTACTTAATAATTCCTAAGCTTGTTTCCTCAATAAAAGTTATATAGTGGGCTGGAGTAATAGCTCAGTGATAGAGTGCTTGCCTAGTACATGTGAGGCACTGGAGTCAATCCTTATTAGCACCATATAAAAATGAATAAATGAAAGTATTGTTTCCATCTACAACTAAAAAATATTTTTAAAAAGTTGCATGCCAATTTATATAAATGGACCCCTACCTTCAAAGATCTTCAACAGGAAAAAATACAGAAAGTACTATAATTTTAGTGAAAAAAAATGTAATATTCCCACTTATTTACATTGAAGGAGAAAAAAATCTAAGCAGATAAAAAATGTAGGGCATGATAAATAAAATGTGGCCAGATGTGGTACTACATGCCTGTAATCCCAGCAACTTGAGAGGCTAAGGCAGGAGGATCACAAGTTTGAGGGCAGCCTCAGCAAATTAGTGAGACTCTGTCTCAAAAGAAAATAAAAGAGGCTGGGGATGTGACTCAGTGTTACAGCCCCCCACCCCCAGGTTCCACTTCTTAGCACAATCAGTCAATCAATAAAACGTGAAAGAAGTTCAGACCTGGAGTTGAATCTTGATTTTTGCCACTGAGTGATTTTGGGCAAGTTATAGAACTTTTCTCAGCCTTTGTCTTTATATGCAAAGTATGCTTCATAATTTTACATATTATGGGGTAGTTATGATGGTTAAATGAGGGAGTCTAAAAAAATGAATTGTTTTGCCTGGCCCAAGACAGATGCTTAGTAAATGTTAAATACTTTTGCTATTTTTATTAATATGAACTGGGCTCTATGCTAGATACTAGGAATGCTAAGACCAATTAGATAGGTTCCCTACTTTCATGAAGGTCAGAGTCTACTTGGGAGATAGACAAGAAGTGGGACCTTATAGAAAAGTGTAGTTAAGCATTTTACTAGAGAAAAGCCCCAATTCATAGACTAGAAGGTGTGATTGGGGGACAGGTCTCTCCAAGTTACCCTTGAACTGAGTCTTAAAGGAAAAGTCAGAATTTCTGAAAGGATATAAAGAAGGAGATTTCCAAACAAAGAACAAGATTAAAAACTTTTGCCAAGATATGGGCTGGAAAGCCAGGAGATTCTCATGAGACTCTACTAGTGTAGTTCACTATAAGTTACTGGCATCAAGAGAGATCTGAGCTCTAATTTTGACCCCACTGTCAACAAGTCACATTACTATCTTAAGCTCTCCGTCATCTGTGAAGTAGAGTTAATGCAGAGAAGCTGCCCTACAAGGTTGATGCAAGGGCTACATGATATGATGCCTGTTAAGTGTTATCAAAATGTTTGGTTCCAAAGTGACACACAAAAAAACATTATAACCATCACTAGTATGTAACACAGGAATGGCTCATGAGTGGAGGGTCTAATGTCTCCTTCATCTTTGTATTTTGGTTTTAGCTCCAGTAACCCTATATTGAGACATTTTCTAAGTAAGCACCCACTAGATGGTGGTCTCCTACTGGAATTAGGTTATGATCCAAATCTCAAAATAGGTCATAGTTCATAATGTCAAGGGGAAAGTACTAAGGATTACAGAGTCAACCAGGAAGCGAACCAGAATATGTGGCCAGATGTGGTACTACATGCCTATAATCCCAGCAGTTTGGGAGGCTAAGGCAGGAGGATCAGAGAGGGAATATGGAAGTTAAAAAGAATGTTCATTGGAATACCTTAATTCAGGCTGGCTGTGGTGGTGCACATATGTAATCCCAGGGATTTGAGAAGCTGAGATGAGAGGTTCAAGACCAGCCTGGGCAACTTAGTGAGACCCTGTTTCAAAATAAAAGATAAAAAGGGCTGGGGATATAGCCCAGTGGTAGAATGCTCTTGGGTTCAATCCAGTGCCTTCTCCCACAAACCCAAAAATAAATCTAAAAACACCTTGATTCTTTTAAAAATAAGAAGGAAAAGCTTAAAAGTACTTCTACAACTGACCTCAGAAGGAAGAACTGCAGGAATGGGACATGGGATAACTTTTCAAGTTGTTCTTTTGCTGTTAGCCAACATATTATCTGGGGGAGTTGGGCTTGTTGGATCTCTGTTCTTTAGACACAAGCTTCTATTATCTCTTGTGAAGCAGAAAACAAAATCAGATGAACATACCAGTCTGATTTTATGATTGGTAGACAACTGAGGTAAGACATTGGGCATATGAAAATATCAGTCTGATTTTATGATTGGTATGATTCCTTTATAATAAGGAATCTCTAAAGATATTTTCCAGTAGGCTCCATCTGGATGTCATCTAATATTAAGGATTTTACATTATCTTTGGATACCCAGACCAATCTGCAACAATTCTCATCTCAAATAATACATAACCACCCAGTTCCTTCTTATCTTTATATCCTTAAGGTGTCTAGCCAGGGGCAGTGGTGCTCTAATCCCAGCTACTTAGGAGACTGAGGCAGTTCAAAGCTAGGCTGAGTGATTTAGTGAAACCCTGTCTCAAAAAATAAAATGGTCTGGGAATATAATTCACCGGTAGAAGAAAGCTCCTAAGTTCAATTTCCAGTACTGCAATAAATAACTAAAGTAAATAAAACAATGTCTATTAAACAGTAGGTTTTTACAAACCTGATGATTCAACTGAATTGTTTGTTTGTTTGTTTGTTTGTCTGCAGTATGGGGTGTTGAACCCAGGTGTGCTACATCCCTAGTCCTTTTTATTTTGAAACATTGCCTCACTAAAATGCCAAGCCTGGCCTCAAACTTGGTGATTCTCCTGCCTCAGCTTTCCAAGTAGCTTGGATTTCAGGTGTGTGTCACACATCTGGCTCAACAGAATTTATAAAGTTTCAGTTTTTGATTATTTAATGGGTGGAATGGAGCATAAGTCAATTGTAGCAACTAACTAGTCCCATCTATTCTGATAGAGGAAGGACAGAATGTGATGCTGCTGTATTGTTGAACTCCAGAAGACCAGGCCTGTTTAACTGTGACCATGGCAGTCCTTTAGTTCTCACATTACCTCCCTTATAACTTTATGTTGATTAGTCTTATGACTTTATGTTGGTAAGTATTTTTTCAGAAATTTATTTCTACTTCACTTTTCATGGAAAATAAACTAAAGAGAGGTCTATACTAAGAAGCAGAGAGATGTAAGACCAAAAGGATATTAACTTTAGTTCAAAGGAAAAGGAACACCGAAGAAAAAGTTGGCAGAACCAATTTCGAATGAGATCTTTAAAATGCACACCAGTCTTTGAGTTTCCATAGGTATTAATGCCTCTGGATTAATACTCCTCTGGATTAATACATGCCCTGGATTGTGTAAACCTGATACTCACAGAGGGACCAGGTAGTCCAGGGACACAACCACCATGGCCTTCAACTCAGAATGTAATTCCTTATCTCATTCAGCAATGAGGGGGGTTACAAAGAAGTAAGTACTCTTATCTGTGGGTAGAAAGGATTTAAATTTCCCTTGGGATGTGCAGGGTCATGAAAAATTCTAAACATTTTTGCAGTACTGGGGATTGAACTCAAGGTGCTCTACCACTGATCTATATCCCCCGCCCATTTTGAGAACAGGGTTGCCCAGTCTGGCCTCAAACTTACAATCTCCTTCAGTAGAAGGGAGAATGTGGCCATCTAGAGAGCAAGAAGCTTTAGGAGTAAAGGAAGGGATATATATTCTTTTTTTACCCCCTTAGCAACTACCTCCTCCTCTGACATGAAATTCTCCTTTTGTCTGAGAACAACTAATACAACCACAGTAATGGAAATGGTTATAAATCTTGTGTCATAAACTACAGACCACTGTCTAGTGGGTTCTTGCTTTCAGCACCCCGTGTCCTTAGATAGACCTCACTTTCACCAAGCCAGAGTGGGCAGCACTTACAGAAAGAAGCTTCA